TTTCCCATGCTTTGTAAAATAACACAGAGCACGCTGATTGGCTGGATTTCAAGCTTTATAAGCCTTTCCCTGCTCTGCAGAGCTCAGTCTGCGCGGAGCCCTCCATGGGTGAAGAAAGATTTTTTTTTTTTTTTTTTAAAGTGCGTCGGTTATTCTGGATTTTTATTTGGCCTTTTTTGGGGCTGAAAAAAGATTTTAGAAGAAAGAAGACATCAAATGGTAAGTCTATTTCTTTTTTTACAGGTATTTAGACAAGGATCCCACCTCATTATTTTTAGGATGAGGGGGGTAGGTAGGGGTAATTTTTTTGGGGGGAGGTGGGTGACTAGGGATTTGGGGACCCCTAGTCATCTAGTCATTTATGGTCCCCACCCACCGCTCAGGGGTGGGGGCTAGGGGGAGGACATTATGTCCCCCCCTTATTGTTATTTAGGGCCCCCACCCGCTGCGCCGGGATGGGGGCCGGGGGGTAGGACATTAGGTTCCTCCCCCCCAATTTTTATGTATGGCCCCCACCCACTGCTCAGGGGTGGTGACCAGAGGGGAGGGCATTAGGTCCCCCCACAATTTTTATTTATGGTCCCCACACACCGCTCATGGGTGGGGGCCGGGGGGGAGGACAATAGGCCCCCCCCTGTTGTTATTTAGGGCCCACACCCACCACTCAGGGGTGGGGGTCAGGGGGGCAATAAGTCCCCCCTTTAGTTTAAAAGCCCCACCGCATGGTGGGTGGGGGCTCAGGAGGGGGGAATTTTTTTTTTTAACAGTGAGCAGCCACAGGCTGTTTAATAGACTGCGAGTAGGGGCAAAATTTACTAATACTAAGTGACCAACTTCTATAGAGGCTGGGTCACTTGATGCACTGGCCAATCACAGCCATGCCATTAGTAGGCATGGCTGTGATGGCTTCTATGAGCACACGAGTCAAACGCTTGTTGATTGGCTGCCCTGCTGCCTTTCAAAACGCGTCATTAAATCTCCGAACTCCAACCTGAACATACAGTGATATGTCCGTGTTCGGGTCCGGGGTCCAGACAACTTAATGTTCGGTACGAACCCGAACTTTTCAGTTCGGGGTCGCTCAGCTCTAAATCTTAGTTATTTGTAACGGATCACCTGGCACCCCGACTGGGTACCTTCTTTGAAAGATGCTCCTAGCGCTTCCTGAGGGCTCTAAACACTCCAGCTGACACCATAACCACCGTAAACTCCTTCAGAGAGCAAGACAGGAACAAGCTCTTAAAAGAGCTTAGAATTGATTATCCAAGGGAGCATGCAGAGCATAGCAATCCCTTGTAGTGATATAGCATTTCCCCCAATAAGAGACAGGACTCTAGATTGAGGGTGAAGAAGAACTGACTGTACTGGCACATACAGCCTCTTTTATTCACATTCTACAAACATAGTACTGCCCACAGGGTTTTGAAGAACAACAATCAACACATTACAACACAGCTAACACTCCCATTCATTACATCAGAAATCCTCCCCTCTGCCTGTCATACAATTATCTCAACACAATAGACTAACATAATTATCACAGGCAGGAAAATACAGTATCATAAAACATATCACAGGGACCCCAAAACATGCAATAACCTCATAAATATATCCTCGGAACCGGGGGATCTGGGTGAACCACATATCCAAAATTCACCCAGATCCATTCAGTAGTTTGGAAGATACGGTTTAATGAAAAATAATTACTTTTAAATGTGTCCCCTGTTCTGTAGTTTAAAACTAATGAACAATGTCTTTGTGCAACAAATACCGGTGAGATGGCCCCGTGTAGAAAAGTCAAAACAGTGTCTGTGAGTTAAAATGGCCACCATCCATTGTTCTCACCATGTGCCTCTGATACATGAAATGGTGGTCACCCAGTAACGCCACAGTATGTCCCCAGATGGTTCTTAAAGGGCCAGCAGCAGCATATTAAAATACAGTATGCCCAAATCAGTTCCTTAAAGGGCAATACATCGCAAGGCCATAGTCGCAGGGCAGGAGGCTGGCAAAAAGGCCCCTTCAAAAACCAGTGGCGATGTCACTTTTGCCACATATCTCCCCTTTGGGGGGTAGACTAACCAGGTACCTAACCTTCTGTCAGTCGGTGCCTGAGTTAGTCTGACAACCCACCCACAACAGCAAAGTACAAGAAGAGCCCTCCCACAACAAACGGGTACTTGGGGGACAGAGGCGCACTGCGCTCTGCTCCAATGTCAGCACTTCAGCTGGGGTAGCCTGGTGGGGACTTGGCTGGGGAGGGGAGATATCACTTACCCCCTCCTGCTGGTACTCCTGCGATGGTAGCTGGGGATCTGGACAGGCTGTCCAGCATCCCTGTGGGTCAGGCACAGAGACCACGGTCCCATCTGCACCGTCTGGCAGATTGGTGTCTCCCCTTGGTAGGGTAAGCTGCCGCTGGGGAGACAGGGTTCTGTGCTCCTCTCCCTGAAACACAGGCTGCTGCTCCCGTAACATTGTCCTGCTGCTGGGGAGAGAGAGGCCAACTGTCTCTGCTCCCTGTAGAACACACTGCTGCTGGGGGGGAAGGCCCCCTGGAGCTCACACTGCTGCTGGGGAGGAAGGACGACACCTTCGGCTCCCTGGAACTCACACTGCCGCTGGGGAGGAAGGACGACACCTTCGGCTCCCTGGACCTCACACTGCCGCTGGGGAGGAAGGACGGCACCTTCGGCTCCCTGGAACTCACACTGCCGCTGGGGAGGAAGGACGGCACCTTCGGCTCCCTGGAACTCACACTGGCGCTGCGGAGGAAGGACGGCACCTTCGGGTCCCTGGAACTCACACATTCTACAAACATAGTTACATAGTTACATAGCTGAAAAGAGACTTGCGTCCATCAAGTTCAGCCTACCTCACATTTGTTTTTTGCTGTTGATCCAAAATAAGGCAAAAAAACCCAGTTTGAAGCACAATTTTGCAACAAGCTAGGAAAAAAATTCCTTCTTGACCCTAGAATGGCAGTCAGATTTATCCTTGGATCAAGCAGTTATTACCCTACATTGAAAGATTATATCCTTGAATATTCTGTTTTTGCAAGTATGCATCTAGTAGCTGTTTGAACATCTGTATGGACTCTGATAAAAACCACTTCTTCAGGCAGAGAATTCCACATCCTGATTGTTCTTACAGTAAAAAAACCTTCCCTTTGCCTTAGACGAAATCTTCTTTCTTCCAGTCTAAACGCATGGCCTCGTGTCTTATGTAAAGTCCGGTTTGTGAATAGATTTCCACACAATGGTTTGTATTGGCCCCGAATATATTTGTATAATGTTATCATATCCCCTCTCAGGTGACGTTTTTCTAAACTAAATAGGTTTAAATGTGTTAACCTTTCTTCATAGCTGATATGTTCCATTCCTTTTATTAATTTTGTAGCCTGCCTCTGCACTTTTTCTAGTGCCATAATATCCTTCTTTAGAACAGGTGCCCAAAATTGCACAGCATATTCAATATGTGGTCTTACCAGTGATTTATAAAGAGGCAAAATGATATTCTTGTCCCGAGAATGAATGCCCTTTTTCATGCATGACAATACCTTACTGGCCTTGGCCACTGCTGATTGACACTGCACATTGTTGCATAGTTTGTTGTCTATAACAATTCCCACCTCCTTTTCATGTGTTATCCCTAATTCGCTTCCATTTAGGGTATACGTTGCTTGTGTATTCTTTACGCCGAAGTGCATAACTTTGCATTTTTCAACATTAAATTTCATCTGCCATTTGAGTGCCCAGTCCCCCAGTCTATCTAAATCCCTCTACAGCAAAGTAATATCTTGCTCACATTGTATTGTTTTACAAAGTTTGGTGTCATCTGCAAACACTGAAATATGACTTTCAATGCGGTCTTCGAGATCATTTATAAACATGTTAAATATTAGGGGTCCCAGAACAGACCCCTGAGGGACACCACTTGCCACCTCTGTCCAGCTTGAAAATTTACCATTAATGACAAGTCTTTGTACTCTGTTTTTAAGCCAATGTTCTACCCAAGAACAAGCATTTTCATCTAGACCGATTTCCTTGAGTTTGAACACTAATCTATTGTGTGGAACTGTATCAAATGCCTTGGCAAAATCCAAATAGATCACATCCACGGCAACACCCTGATCTATACTTCTACTTACTTCTTCGTAGAACGCAATCAAGTTAGTTTGACATGACCTGTGCTTCATAAAACCATGCTGATTTTTGCTGATAACCATGTTCTTCTCAAGGAATTCTTGAATATTATCCCTTAATAACCTTTCAAATATTTTACCAGCCACAGAAGTTAAGCTTACAGGTCTATAATTTCCAGGCAAGGATTTTGAACCCTTTTTGAATATAGGAACCACATCTGCCTTCCTCCAATCCTCAGGAACACTTCCTGAAAGAAAAGAATCTTGAAAGATTAAAAACAGTGGTTCACTTATTTCTGCACTTAGTTCCTTAAGTACACGTGGATGGATACCGTCAGGCCCTGGAGCTTTGTTTATATTAACTTTCTTTAGTTGCTGCAGCACCTTGCCTTGAGTTAACCAATTACAATTATTCTGCAAGTTTTTAGTAGCAATCATTTGCACATCTATTGCCATGGGTTCTTCCTTAATATATACGGAGGAGAAATAGTTATTTAAAATTCCTGCCTTTTCCTGGTCTTCATTAACTAACACCCCCGTTTCAGTTTTTAGTGTACCTACACTTTCATTTTGTGTTTTTTTTAGAATTTATGTACTTAAAAAATGCTTTGGGGTTGGTTTTGCTCTCTTCAGCTATCATTATTTCATTTTGAAGTTTAGCAAGTCTAATTGCTTTTTGCACGCATTATTTGCATCCTTATATCTTTTATAAGATGCATCTGATTTGTCTGATTTAAATGCTTTAAATGCCCTTTTCTTAGTTGTAATCTCTTGTTTTACTTCTCTACTAAGCCACATTGGTTTTAATTTGTTTCTTTTATATTTATTTCCCAACGGTACATACTGAGAAATGTACCTTTGTAATATTTGTTGAAAGATGATCCATTTATCCTCAGTGTTCTTTTCACTAAAGAGTTTATGCCAGTCAATATATTGTAAAGCTTCCCTTAACTTATTGAAGTTGGCCTTTTTAAAATTATATGTTTTAGTATTCCCCATGTGCTTTTGTTTTTTCGAGTTTATTTCAAAGGACACTATATTGTGATCACTATTTCCCAAGTGCTCACCTACTTGAATGTTGGTCAAAAGATCAACGTTGTTTGTTAAAACCAGGTCCAGACAAGCATCCATTCTAGTTGGTGCTTGTACAAGTTGTGACGTAAGGTGTCATTTAACAAGTTTAAAAACCTAATTCCCTTTGCTGAGGCACTAGTACTGTCCTCAGGGTTTTGAAGAACAACCAATCAACACATTACAACATAGCTAACACTCCCATTCATTACATCAGAAATCCTCCCCTCTGCCTGTCATACAATTATCTCAACACAATAACATAATTATCACAGGCAGGAAAATACAGTATTATAAAACATATCACAGTGTAGCGGTTCTTACCTTACCCGGGGGCCGGCCGAGGTCCTCTCTTCCCGCCACGCGCGGCTCTCGAATGAAGGCGGGCACGGACCGCGAGATGCGGTACGTGTCCCGCCTAGCTTTAAGAGCGTGCCGTGCGTCTCAGGCACGCTCTTAAAGGGGCAGTGAGAGCCAAAAAATGCAATGGTCTCGCATTGGCCCCTGTCATCCCACATTCCCCAGACACTCACATTTTGGGGGCGTGGATATGACAGGGGCCAATCAAAGTAAAGTTTAGGGTATTTATACTTACCTCTCCCTTAACTCCCTGCCCTATCGTGGTTTCTGTTTCAGTTCCCTTTAGCGCTTGTTGTGTTCAGTTGTGATTTTCGTGCTTGACCTTGGCTTTGTATCTGACTCCGTTTATCTCTCTATCCCTGTTTTGTCTTGTTTGCCGGCTTACTGACTCTGTGTACCAGACCTTGCCTAGTTTTTGTTCCCAAAATTGCCTCTTAATCAACTACTTCTCCCTGTTTCTCTGCATCTGGAGAATAATTGCATAGCAAGAAACATACTAGCCATGTTTGATTCCGAGGCAGCTGAGAATTTCATAGACTCTAGATTTGTTAGGAAAAAACAAAATACCCCTTAGAGAGAAGAAGACACCCATGGCAGTTGAGGCCATAGATGGTAGACCATTATGCTCCCCAGTTATCACACATGAAACGGAACCGTTGCATATGTATACAGGAATGTTTGTCAGGATTACTGTTTGATCCAGCACGTAGAACTGTACAGCATGGATGACAAATAAGTAACGTATTACCGGTCCTTAGAATGGCCGGATTTAACATACAAAGAATAGTCAAAAATAGTAGCCGAGGTCAGGGAACACAGAAAGGGACACAGCGATGAGGAAAGCCAGGAGTCAGGATACCAGAATATAGAGAAGTCAATAAACAAAGCCAAAGTCAAAAACTAGGTAGAAAACTATAAACAGGAACACGCTCTCAAACAACCACAAGGGAAACCACGACAGGGCACTGAGCAGGCTGAGAACTTGGCCTAAATACCCCTCCTTTAGTTCTGATAGGCTGTAACAGGCCTTTGACCCCAAAGTCAGTTACCAGGTTTCATTTGCATAATTGCTGCTCAGCATTAACCCTTCTGTGGATTAGGTTGCTGCTCGGCACAACTTTTCCTGTGTGGACAGTAAATGTAATTAATCACTTTTCTCTAAGCGGATGAATACATGACACCAGGTTTCATTTGCACAATTACTGCTCAGCATTAACCCTTCTGTGGATTAGGTTGCTGCTCGGCACAACTTTTCCTGTGTGGACAGTAAATGTCATTAACCACATTTCTATAAGCGGATGAATATGTGACATGGTACACTCAGAAACCATTCAGTTTCAGGTCATCACCTCTCCTTCCTCTCACATTGTGTTAGGGTACCCATGGTTACGTTCTCACAATCCCATTTTTGACTGGGAGTCAGGACAAATAGTATCTTGGAGTGAAACCTGACAAGAGTCTTGTATCATTAAAATCACCCCTTTGAATTCTATTAATGTTCCTACTACTCCTCCTTTGTCTACTGTTATACCTCCTCAGTACATGTGTCTTAAGTCTGTCTTCGATAAAAGGGAGGCTGAAAAATTACCGCCTCATAGACCCTACGATTGTGCTATTGATATATTGGCTGGCACTATACTTCCCAAAGGCAGGGTGTATCCTTTGTCTCCTCAAGAAAATCTTGTCATGGAGGAATATATTAAAGAATCTCTACAAAAGGGATTTATAAGGAGATCCTCTTCTCCGGCAGGGGCAGTGTTCTTCTTTGTGTCGAAGAAGGAGGGCGATTTAAGACCTTGTATTGATTATAGGGGTCTAAATAAAATCACTAAAAAAATGCTTACCCTATACCATTAATCACGGAATTATTCGACAGGCTTAAACAAGCTACTGTGTTTACTAAATTGGACCTTAGAGGTGCATACAATCTCATACGTATAAAAAAGGGCCATGAGTGGAAAACTGCATTCAATACTAGGAGTGGTCATTACGAGCATACTGTGATGCCATTCGGTTTTTGTAACGCCCCAGCAGTGTTTCAAGAATTTATTAATGACGTTTTACAAGAGTTAATTCACTCATTTGTGATAGTGTACTTGGACGACATATTAATATATTCAACATATTTACATACTCATCACATGCATGTTAAAACAGTTTTGAAAACCCTTCTTGTTAATGGTCTTTATTGTAAACTAGAAAAATGTTTATTTGACCAATCCGAAGTACAGTTTTTAGGTTATATAATTTCTGCTAAAGGTTTTCATATGGATCCCCAGAAGCTTTCTGCTGTCAGTGAATGGCCTTTACCTCAGGGTCTGAAAGCCATTCAGCGTTTTCTTGGGTTTTCTAACTATTATAGACGCTTTATTAAAGGATTTTCTTCTATTGTAGCGCCTATAACACGCATGAATAAAAAGGATGGCAATACTCGTGTCTGGTCCCCAGAGGTGCTTGAGACCTTTGAATTTCTTAAAACTGCGTTTGCCTCTGCTCCTATTTCACAGCATCCTGTCCCTTCTTTGCCTTATATTCTTGAAGTTGATGCTTCGGATATTGGGGTAGGTGTTGTCTTATCTCAAAGAGAATCACCTGATAAGCCATTACATCCTTGTGGCTTCTTTTCCAAACAGATGTCCAAAGCCAAAAAGAACTATGACATAGGCAATCGAGAACTTCTTGCTATTGTTTTAGCACTTAAAGGACCACTCTAGGCACCCAGACAACTTCAGCTTAATGAAGTGGTCTGGGTGCCTGGTCCAGCTAGGCTTAACCCATTCTTTCATAAACATAGCAGTTTTTTCCTCTAGCGGCTGTCTCATTGACAACCGCTAGAGGCGCTTGCGTGCTTCTTACTGTGATTTTCACAGTGAGAGCACGCCAGCGTCCATAGGAAAGCATTGATAATGCTTTCCTATGTGACCGGCTGAATGCGCGCGCAGCTCTTGCTGCGCGTGCGCATTCAGCCGACGGGGAGGAACGGAGGAGGATCGGAGGAGGAGAGGTACTTACCTTACCCGGGGCCGGCCAAAGTTCTCTCTTCCCGCTGCACGTGGCTCTCAAATGAATGCGGGCACGGACCGCGAGATGCGGTCACGTGTCCCGTCTAGCTTTAAGAGCGTGCCGCGCGTCTCGGGCACGCTCTTAAAGGGGCAGTGAGAGCCAAAAAATGCAATGGTCTCCCATTGGCCCCTGTCATCCCACATTCCCCAGACACTCACATTTTGGGGGCGTGGATATGACAGGGGCCAATCAAAGTAAAGTTTAGGGTATTTATACTTACCTCTCCCTTAACTCCCTGCCCTATCATGGTTTCTGTTTCAGTTCCCTTTAGCGCTTGTTGTGTTCAGTTGTGATTTTCGTGCTTGACCTTGGCTTTGTATCTGACTCCGTTTATCTCTCTATCCCTGTTTTGTCTTGTTTGCCGGCTTACCGACTCTGTGTACCAGACCTTGTCTAGTTTTTGTTCTCGCAGTCTCTTTGTTCCCTTGACCTCGGCTTGTTCTTGACTCTGTCTATTCTCTGCTATACGGCGAGTCCGGCCATTCTAAGGTCCGGTAAGTAGTATCTGCTCTATCTGTCGATTGTTGGACTAAATCTTGCGTGTAGGGGTAAACTACCGTGACACACATGCAATAACCTCAAAAATATATCCGGAACCGGGGGACCTGGGTGAACAACATATCCAAAATTCATCCAGATCCATTCAGTAGTTTGGAAGATACGGTTTAATGCAGATTCCACAGAACATATACAGACTATATGTAAAATAATTTCTGTTAAACGTGTCCCTGGTTCATCCATTGTTCTCACCATGTGCCTCTGATACATGAAAGGGTGGCCACCCAGTAACTCCACAGTATGTCCCCAGATGGTTCTAATAAATAATAATACAGTATGCCCAAATCAGTTCCTTAAAGGGCAATACATCCCAGGGCCAAAGTCGCAGGGCAGGAGGCTGGCAAACAGGCCCCTCCAAAAACCAGTGGCGAGGTCACTTTCGCCACATTATTCACTAAAGAGATAATTCAATGTGAATTCAACGTGAATGTCAAATATAAGGTCAAAATATCCCAACTGGAAGAAACTCAGCTAATAGAGATGCTTTCAATTTGGCTGCTCTGGACTTAAGTTTGAAATTCTCTTTGCATTTACTTTAAATTCTCATAGTAGTAAATAACTCTGTAGGTGTTTTCAGTGAACCAAAAATGTCCCCCTTTTCAGCCACCTTGCTAATGTAGAATTTATGCTTCCTCATTATCAATATCAATTATGTTCACAGAAATGCAGTGAGTGGGTTGACAGAAAATTAAACTAAGGATGACGATTATATACTCTTATGCAACATACAAGGGGGGGAGGGGTACTTCTGGTGCTTAGAGTACCCCATTAACAAATTAACTTGTAAATAGATTTAAGTAATGACTACATGTACCTGATACATTTTTTAATAATATTACTATCTAATGCAAGCAAAGTTAGTAGTTAAAACAGGGTTAACTCTAGAATCTGCTGATAAAATAATACATATTAGACATGTGTTATTAGTTTTGTTCCAAATGTCAATTAGGGTGAATTTCGGGTAATTCGGACATGTCCGAATTGGCGAATTGCCGAAGCGCCGAAGTGCAGAAGTGCAGAAGCACAGTATTGCCGAAGTACTAATATACCCAGTGGAAGAATAAATAATGTTACACTGTATAACAGTTTA